GGTCTGTGTCAGTCCTCACTGATCTCTCTCCCCCATCAGGTTGAGGGGTACTATAGAGTTTTGAGAATTCCACCTCACTGCCTTTTGTTCGGCAGCAGAACATAAATTAACACCTGAATTTTGGGTATTTCGAGGCATCTGGGAGTTCTACCTTCCCCATGGAACCAGGGTCCTCTATATCTCTTCGTATTTTGCACATTTAGTGCATGACTAGACTTTTTTTATTCTTCATACTATTTTTTGGTCTTCCTTAAGATCCTAAGTCATTTAAATATTCATTTTAGAAAATCATCACTACATTATATTTTAGGAACAAAATTAGCAAGAAGATGAACGGAGTCTAATGGTCAGGGCTGAGCACGGGGTCAGCACCTTGGGTCTTGCCACAGCTGGGTCTCTAACGCTCTGCATCCTCTCAGATTGGCCACGGGCTTTCTGGGTCTACTGTCCTCACCTACGGTAAAGTGCAGATGAGCGAAAAAGTGCCCTCCTTGAACTGTGGGATCGCCAGACATGACATGTTCTAGAATAAAGAGACGTAAAGTCATAACCAAATGCATAATAAGGACAAATGCGACTCTGGCTGGATTCCTCCTCCAACCGGGGAAACTTAAATATGAGTCAATATGTGCTTTTAAGGAATGACTATAATTCTGTGTGTGGTGGTGCTACTGTGGATAAGTAAGAAGATATTTTAGAGATGCATATTAATTGCTATTGTGGGTAAGAAAATATTCTACGGAGGCTGGATGCCATTTTCCACACCTGTAATCCCAGACCTTTGGGATGCTGACACAGGAAGATTGCTTAAGGTCAGGCGTTAGAGACTAGCCAGGGCAATAAGACAGACCCCATCTTTGCAATACAACAAACCATTAGCCAGGCATAATGGCATGCACCTGTAGTCCCAGCTACTCGGGGGGCTGAGGTAGGATAACTTGAGCCCAGCCTGGGCAACAGAGCAAGAACTCTGTCTTTAAAAGTAAAATATATATGTGTTTGTGTATATACATATATGTCTAAATATATGTTTTTATATTTATTTTTATATATTTTAGAGACGCATATTAATAATTATTGATGAGTCATGTTGTCTTTTTCAACAGGTTGAAGGATTTAATACTAACCTACCAATGTGGTAGGTTATGTCTCTAAAAATTCTTTTTAATCTATTAGACATACTGGAAAAAATAATACAATGTCTGAGATTTGCTTCAAAACAGTCCATTGGGGACTTATATACAACGAGATTGGTCCTATACTGACAACTATTGAATATGGTTAATGGAGAATTGGAACTTTGTTATACTAGTCTTCCTATTGTGAAGTATGTTTGAAATTTACCAAAAGAATCAAAATAAAAAAATAAAATTTTCTATAACAAAAAGTTAAGAAAAACAGAAAGAGTGATACTACACACACCAGAGAATAGTGAACCTCCGACTGAAAGTGCCAAGTGTGGGAGGGACACACAGCAGCTGGGCTCTCGGTCACTGTGAGTTGCTGAGGGGCAGAATCGGGACAGCCGCTCTGGACAGCTGGACACTCGGCTGCTGGAGGGGCAGAATCGGGACAGCCGCTCTGGATAGATGGGCCCTCGGATGCTGTGAGGGGCAGAATCGGGACAGCCGCTCTGGACAGCTGGGCCCTTGGTCGCTGGAGGGGCAGAATCGGGACAGCCGCTCTGGACAGCTGGGCCCTCGGATGCTGTGAGGGGCAGAATTGGGAGAGCCGCTCTGGAAAGCTGGGCCCTTGGTCGCTGGAGGGGCAGAATCAGGAAAGCTGCTCTGGACAGCTGGACACTCGGATGCCGGAGGGGCAGAATCAGGACAGCCGTTTTGGACAGCTGGGCCCTCAGTCACTGGAGGGGCAGAATCGGTGCAGCCGCTCTGGACAGCTGCAGGTCAGTATCCAGTGAGGTGAACACAAGTGTGCCCCATGACCCTGCAGTTCCACTCCCAGGTACGCTTTAATAGCAATGCACACATGTGTGCACAGAAAAAAGGGGGACCAGCACAGACCTCCAGTAAGAGCAGAACAGATGAGCTGTGGGGTGTCTGTATAGTGGAACGAACTATGTGCAACAATGACAACAAACAAACTACAACGACAGGCAATGACGTCGACTCCTCCAATGCAGAGCAGAAGAGTCCAGGCAGAAACACTTACACTGGTGGGGAGCAGGTAAAACTGACCTACAGTGTCAGAAATCGATGTGCCTGTTACCTGTAGGGACCAGGGATGGGGTTAGGACCTAAGAAGAACAGGAGGTGACCTCCAGAATGCTAATCACATTCTACTCCTGATCTGTGGGACAGAGTAAGGAATGCCCTTATGTTTTGGGCATCCTTCTATTAAAAAGCAAAAAAATAAAGTGATTAAAAAAATGAAGCCGGCTCAGTGCCCATAACTCAGTGAGGAGGGCATTGGCCACATATACCAAAGCTGGCGGGTTCAAGGCCAGCCTAGGCCTGCTAAACAACAATGACAACTACAACCAAAAAATAGCCGGGTGTTGTGGCAGGTACCTGTGGTCCCAGCTACTTGGGAGGCTGAGGCAAGAGAATCGCTTAAGCCCAAGAGTTTGAGGTTGCTGTGAGTTGTGACGCCACGGCACTCTACCTAGGATGACAGTGAGACTCAGCCTCAAAAAAAAAAAAAAATGAAGCAAATGTTAACATATTTCCTATAAGTCTTCTTTTAAAAATTATTAACAAAAGGGTAGTGCCTGTGGCTCAAAGGAGTAGAGCGCTGGCCCCATATGTCAGAGGTGGCAGGTTCAAACCTATCCCCAGCCAAAACAAAACAAAAACTTTAACAAAAAGTCAAAATAAAATAAAATTATGATGGGCATGGGGGAACAAGACAACTTTTTGTCCTAAAGAGCTACACGTTCTCAAAGGTACATTTAGCCACAACAACACAGACAACGTATCATCTGTATGACTGTCCCGCCCGTCCTGCCAGACAGACGTCCGTGTATCTTGGGTCAAACATTAGTCAGATAAAGGGACTCTCTAGGTTGGGATGCTTAAAAATAATAATAAATAAATAAATAAAGGGCAAAGGTCTTCAGAGCCTACAGTAACTACCTTAAAAAAAGTAATGCTACTTTACCCTTGTTATTTTAACCTACTGACATGATATTTAATATCAAAGGTCTGCCCTAAAGGCTTTCTGCTTTGTTTTTATTCTTTCAATTTCAAGTTATTAGATTAGTCAGGTTGATAAAGAGTAACTGTGCATAAGATAACTATAAATATCTGGGATATTTGGAATTAGCAGCTAATAGTTTTAAATACAATTATTCTAATTTAAAAACTGGACTAGTGGGAAACAGAGACTGACTCACCTTTCCGACAAAGGGGACCAAGTGGTGCTCGCACATGGAGAACATGTCGATGTCCTTCACGATCACCATCTCGTCGTGGTCTTCATCAAAGACAGCGTCGTTGAGGACACCTGGAATCACAGGCTGCTTCAGTGACCCCCATCTCCCAGAAAGGCACAGAGCAGGAAAGCCAGGGTGGGCAAACGTGAACAGACAGCCAACACTGCAGAGAATGTCAGGCCTCCCTAAAACACTAAGGGAATACAAATTAAAACGCGACATTTTCCCTATGAAAGCAGCCAAGTCTCTTTCTTTGAATAATATTTTTTAAATCCTTGAGATAGTGTCACATGAAAAATGCAGGATTATGAACAGGTACACAATGTGAGAGGGAGAAACTGTGCCAGAATTAAGCAGAATTAAACTATTCCTGGAGGAGGAGCGGACGACCTCCCCTCTCTTCCTTACATTTGCTTAGGTTAGTACTTTCTTCATAATGGAAATACAGAAAACCACATCTAAGCGCCAGGTCTAGATGATCCGAGCCACATCTAAAACACACATTAATTGCTAGTGTAGGTGAGAAAGTATTTTAGAGAGGCTGAGTGTGGTGGCTCACACCTATAATCGCAGCACTTTGGGAGGCCGAGGTGGGAGGATTGCTTGAGGCCGAGAGTTTGAGATCAGACTCTACAACACAGCAAGACCCTGACCCTACAATAAACTTTTTAAATTAGCCAGGTGTGGCGGCACACAGCTATAATACCAGGTATTCAGGCGTTGAGGCAGGAGGATCACTTGAGCCCAGGGATTCAAGGTTGCCCCTATGATTGGGGCATTGTATTGCAGCCTGGACAGCAGTGTCTCAAAAAAATAAGAAGAAGAAATTTTATTTTTTTAACTGCAATGACTTAGCCTCAACTATCATCTACAAAAGGAAAGGTTAATCAGATGACGCCTGCCTGTGACCACAAAGACATCCTGTGCTGGACGCCAAAGAGGGCCCAAGGGAAACAGGCTGCGATCCCCACCACTGGACACAGCCATGCTTCTGTAACAGGCAGGTACCCAGACAATGCTGTGTGACGTGGAAAGTTCTTCAGCTCTACCATCAAATGAGAAGCTACAGAAAAGTATAGTGTGGCCTCATTTTTGTAAAATAAATATACCTGTGGGAAGAACTTCACTGCTATCTGGACAGGCCATGGATATGGGGTACACGGTGCACATAGAATGATCAGATGGGGAGATGCAGGGAGCATGGCGGCCACCTGCAGCTGCTGCCCCTCAGAAGGGGGCCCCAGAGAGTCTCAGCAGATGGGTGCAGATGTCCACCCCCACTGCCTGCTCCTCGGCTGCTAGAAGGGGAGCTCCAGATACTGAGTCACCATGTAAACAGCAATGATAAGCCCAAGTCCAGCATTTGACTGTGTTGTTGAAAAGTCATTGGCAACAAAAGGGAACATGGGGGATTTCGGACACAGGGAAACAGATGTCCTGTTAGAAGTGGCTGCTAAGATCAGGGAGGGCAAGGCTCAGTGCCATTCTCTGCTAAGTACTCCTTATGAACACACACACACACACACACACACACGTGTTTAATAAGAATCACTGCAAAAAGCGGCAAAAAGAAAAACGCCAGAAGGATGAAATAAAAAGCTAACAAAAGTGTGGCACCTGGGGCTCAGTGAATAGGGCACCAGCCCCATATACCGAGGGTGGTGGGTTCAAACCCAGCCCCAGCCAAAATGTAACAACAAAAAAAAGCAGGGCGTTGTGGTGGGCGCCTGTAGTCCCAGCTACTCAGGAGACTGAGGCAAGAGAATTGCCTAAGCCCAAGAGCTGGAGGTTGCTGTGAGCTATGACGCCACATCACTCAACCAACGGCGACTAAGTAAGACTCTATCTGTTAAAAAAAAAAAAAAAGGTAATAAAAATGGTCACCTAAAAGGACTGAGGAGAGAACAAGAGGGGCGTCTTTCAGTATAATCTGTTCTGTAGTCTGGACTTTGAAATCATGTAAATGTTCTACATACTCAAAATTAAACTGGAAAGGGGGAGAAAGAGACAACAGTGGCCCTCAGCTTAGTGCTCCGTCACGTGGGCAGGGACGCAAACGTGCTGCCCACGTCCCATTCCATTAAAACAGACCCAGACTGTGAACCTGACCCAGCAAATCATTTTTCTTCCATAATGAAGTTTCCCTGGTATGTTTATTTATGTTTTGCTCCAACCTATCTAAAAGTTACCATCTGGGAATAATAAGAACAAAACACTATCACAGATTGTTTTAATTTCCTGCCTGTTATCAGCAGCAAGAAGGTAACCCTGGAAACGAGGATTTACTGCATTCTGCTTCCGACTGCCGGGCATAACCACAAAGGAAACCACGGCAGCCTCCAGAATCACTTGTCCAACCCCACAGGACGCCGGTTTTCAGGTCTGCCTGTCTCCTGCCGTTAGTCACTAAGCGGTGACAACAGAAGACGCTGCTCCCCCCGTCCCTCAGAGCTCAGTCTGCCGGGACCCCTACCTGAGAGCGCAGGGGCCAGGCCCACAGTGGGAGCCCCCATACCTGTTGAGTGACCTGGGAAGCAGAGCCCCCCTCAGTGGGTCAGTTAAAACACAAACTTCTGTGCCCCACCCCAAAGCTTCTGTGTCAGGTCTCAGTGGGCCTGAGAACGTGTGCATCTAACAAGTCCTGTCTGCCTTCTTTGAGGCATTCCATGTTCTGTGCTGCTACTGAGAATCTTCACATCTTTTCCTTTTTTTTTTTTGAGACAGAGATCAGATGGGGAGTCATGCTCTGTCGCCCCCCCCCCCACAGCACCCTGGCATCATACATAACGTAAGAGGAAGAGACTCCTGGGCTCAGGTGATCCTGCCTCGGCCTCCTGAGCAGCTGGGACTACAGGTGCCTGCCACAGTCTGGCTAGTTTTTCTACTTTTAGTAGAGATGGGGTCTCGCTCTTGCTGAGGCTGGTCTCAAACTCCTGTGCTCAAGGAAGCCTCCTGCCTCTACCTCTACTTCCACTCAAAATATTCAGCTTTCTACTTAAGGACAAACACAGAAAAAGGAGAGAAAAGATAAAGATTCCGGCAGAAGGAGCCAGTGTTACTCAGGACATCTGGTGACCAGCACGGACTGGGCCTCTTCTGCCACCAGACACATCCCCCTACAGGGACAGCATAGAGGACACGGGAGACTCAGCACGTTGAGTGCGCACCCCTCCTAAGGGGGCCGCAGGAGAGAGCTGACAGCATCTGCCTCCTGGTTTTAGAATTAAGAGGACAGAGAGATGCCCAGGCCATCAGGCCTCCTTGCTTCCAGCTAGAATTAAATCAACTCAGAGTGTCAGCAAAGAGAGTCTCGGCACCTTCTCACATCAAAGGCACACAGCTCTGACTTCATCATCCGCCTCTTGGTGACATGGTGCTTGTGCTCGTGTTTCCCGACCCCAGGGCGTCGTTACAAGCTGCTGGGTGCACCGTCGTGTGTCCAGGCTGTGGTGTTCCACACAGGGCCCGTCACACCGAGCACAGAGCTGGGGGTTAAATGCATGTTCACCCAATTAATGTGTCTTTCTTTACCCTGCAATTCATTTCCTTAAAATAGATTTTAAAAGGATGGGACTCCAGAGAAAGTGATGAGGCCAAGGGAACAAAAGAATTCTCACTGCTGGCATGGTGCAGTGACTCACGCCTGCAATCCCAGCACTTTGGGAAGCCAAGGTAAGAGGACTACTTGAGGCCAGGAGTTTGAAACCAGTCAACATAGCAAGACCCCATCTCTACAAAAAAACAAGAAAATTAACTGGGCATAGTGGTGTGCACCTGGAGTACCAGTTACTCCAGAAGCTGAGGCAGGAGGATGGCTTGAGCCCAGGAATTTGAAGCTATAGTGAGCTATGATCATGCTACAGCACTCTAGCCTTTGAGATCCTATCTCAAAAAAAAAAAAAAAAGAATTCTCACTGCAGTCTTACTACTAATAACAAAAACTAAGAATAATTACACAGTTTGAGTAAGGTCATACAATAAAATGTGACCCTCAGTGTAAATCTGGGCTGTATTTATAAATCCTTGACACAAATTACATGTTAATAAAATTAAATAAATAAATAAATAATAAATCCTTGACACAATGTTCACGGGCAGGAGCTCACAGCAGGACACACAGGGCACAGTTCACTTAAACTGACGCAGAGACCACAGCAGAGAGCCCTGTGCCTCTACATGGTAGGAGGTGACAGGTTCAGAAAGCAATAATTAGGAAGCTTAAACTATACCTGTATTTTTTAAAAGCAAAACATTAAGATTGGTTAACATTGGAGACAACTTTGGTTAAGTTAGTTCTTCATACCTTATCTTGCATATTTGAGACATTTCATTAATAAAAAGATTTTTTTTTTGAGACAGAGTCTCACTTTGTCACCCCTGGTTGAGTGCTGTGACATCACAGCTCACAGCAACCTCAAACTCTTAGGCTCAAGTGATTATCTTGCCTCAGCCTCCCAAGTAGCTGAGATTACAGGTGCCTGCCACAATGCCCGGCTGTTTTTGGTTCAGGCTGGTCTCTCAATCCACCACGTCGGCCTCCCAGAGTTCTGGGATCACAGGTGTGAGCCACTGCACCTGGCCCAAAGGATTTTTTTAATTGAGGTGTTTATATACATGCTGGTGTTTTGTTTTGTTCCTAAAAAAAATAAAAAGAAAAACCTGAGGTTACCTTTGCACAGAGGAAGGAGCACACAGGAAACACAGCCTATCTCCTGCAGAGCCACAAAGTCCTTCCAAACCCTCCCCAAACCACACTCCGACCCAAACAAAAGCTCCTGGCATTAAACTTTCTGCTTGTTACCTCCTGTTTGAGAAAACTATCCTACAAGTAAGAGCAAGGTTAAGCAAATTCAAAGGGAGACGCAAATCACCATCCCTGCTTCCATCTCCATCACCACAGTACAAGCATACCTCTTGCTAGAACTTCCAAAACTGGCAACTTTCTGCATTTAACAAAGCAGAGTTAACATTTATAAAACGCGACCAAAATAAGCATGAACCCATCATCATGATGTAATGGCGGGATGTAAGATGACCACAGACCAGTCACCGCACCACTGGGGCAGGCAGAGTGGCCACACTGCTCCCATATGTCCATGGACTCACTGCATCACTGTGAGCCCGTCTGCAGGAGAGATACAAGTCATTGCAAAGCAAGCAAAAGTCTGGTCACTCCTCTCATCCTGGGCAGAGATAAATCCCTATGCTGCTGTTGAGCTATTAAAAGATAGCCAAGGTTTGGCGCCAGTGGCTCAAGTGGCTAAGGTGCCAGCCACATACACCTAAGGTGGCAGGTTCAAATCCAGCCCGGGCCTGCCAAACAACAATGACGGCTGCAACCAAAAAATAGCCAGGCGTTGTGGCGGGCGCCTGTGGTCCCAGCTACTTGGGAGGCTGAGGCAGGAGACTCACTTGAGTCCAGGAGTTGGAGGTTGCTGTGAGCTGTGATGCCACAGCACTCTACCCAGGGGGACAACTTGAGGCTCTGTCTCAAAAAAAAAAAAAAAAGATAGCCAAAGCTATTAAAATAGATGTTCCTGATTGCCCTCAAAACAGCATGGACATGCAGCCTGCACTTAGTGTACCCGGCCAGCCTTGTTGTGAACACACAACCTAACATGACGTTGTCTTCACCAGCGCGCTCCTGATGACAGCAGTCATGTTTTCTGTATTACAGAAAAACTGAAATGAGTGTTCACTTCAGCAGCACATATACTAAAAAAGTGGGAAGATACAGACAAGGTCAGCAGGGCCCTGCACAAGGAGGACACACAAATTCGTGACGCGTTACATATTTTTCAATTAAAAGTGGTGCAAAGTGAGAAAAATCTCTGTGCACAAAAGCAATGTCTCATCTAGTGACCCACGATGCTTGTACCACCCGCTACGCCAATCCCCTCGTCAAAGTGAATGACCATTCGGATGGACTTGGAGTCTGGCAAGATGATGATTTCATCAAGTTTGACACAGGCAACCCCCAGGTGCTCACCTGGGAAGAACACGTGATCACATGTGATCACAACAGACCGACACATCCCAGATGTTTGCATGTAGTTTATGTAAAAGACACCAACGGCAACAGCTTTGCCACTGGGCTCGCCCACATTTGTGTTATTGCCTAAGGCGACAAACCATGGATTTCTGTTCCCCGAGGGAAAGGCCTCCACCTCACCATTGCTGCAGAGAGACAAGAGACTGGCAGCCAAACAGAGTAGTGGGTGACTGGTCCCCAGGGGACATGTCAGAGAGGTCTTTGTGCTTAATTAAAGATAATATAGCTTGAATTTTAAAAAAGGAAATGAGAAAGAAAAGCAAACATATGATCTCCCCACCAGGTACAGTTACGTCCCTGCCTCTTAGGGGAACCACATGCACAGTGGTCCATGACACAATGGGCAGGTAACGGAATGAGAAAGTCCAGAGGCCTGAGTTCTGGCGCAATCTCCGTGCAGACCGTGTGACCCCAGCGTCACTGTCCTCATGGGTACCAGGACGGGGCTGGAGGAGGAACTTAACGTGACTCCAGGTTGCTGGTGTGCACGACTCAGGGACATTGGAAATCAATGCCGACTAAGAGGACAGTGACCTTCCCACCTGACTGGTCACTTCTGAAATGCACACAGCAGCAGCCGGCAGTTTTCTGTACTGAGGTGAAGGAAAAGCACCTGTTTAAACTATTCAGATCTATTCACGGATAAGGCTGAGTCTGCTGCTCACGCCCACCATCGCCTGCGTTGCCAGCTAAGAACTCCCTGGGTCTCAGTTTACTCCTCCCATCCTCCTGGTGGACCAAAACTAGAGCCTCAGACGGTGTCTCAGGAAAGAAAACAGTGTGTTCCCTTAACAATGTTAAGTCATTTCTCAAAAAATTTTAAAAAAGAACACATTTGCCAAATTTAGTGTTCATAACTGGATAATTTTGTATATATCTTTCACAATCTAGCTAGTAAACCAAAAACGGAATTTACAAAACAGATGGTGATAACAAGGTCTGGTTCAGAGCAGTTCTAAGTGAGGAGCACACCGATCCGATCCAACTACCCCTTCGCTTCAACAACCTCTCACAGGCTCAGCCCTCCCTACCCTACATGCAGCTGCGTCAGAGACAGGCACTGCGGAGCCCTCTGCAATCCACCCGGGCAGTGGCAGCAGAGTGCACGTTAGTGACAGACGATTAAGGGGTAAGGGGTAATCCTTCAGAATAGGGCTTCCCAAATGCTGCCAGTCAGAGAGATCTGGAGCATCCAGCTGCTTCCCAAGCCACCCTGGGAAAACATGACTCACTGAGTGTGGGGACAAAGTCAGGACTGAGTCTTTCAAAACCCCAGTGATTCTGGTGACCAGCTGGGGAGGGAGCATGCAGCTTTCTCAGAGATGAGGGTCAAAAACAAGCCCACTAGTGGCCAGGGGCTGCTGCCTAGCAAGGAGGGGCAGCGGGCAGTTCGTCACCACAACCACCACTGTGGCCACCACGTCAGCAGTGAGCACTGCGAGGTGAGCACACAGTTGGGGAAGGGCTGGACCAGCCAGAAGGAGGCTGAACAGAGACGGGGCTAGACTGGAGAATGGAGACCAGAGAGGGCGCCTGGGGCAAAGCTGGGGTGGTGGTCGTCAAAGCAGGTAGAGCAGAAGGACCCGCAGACTCCAGAAGACACAAAGGAAGGAGGACCCCACGTCAGAGCTGTGCCCACATCCTAGCAAAGTGCCGGGCACTTAGGACCAACTGGATGTACAGACAATCACTGGAAATCAGTTTCTAGGCCAACACAATCAAGTTTCATAGTTCCCGAGCTGTACAAATACACCAAACCAGGACCTCGGAAAACTAGACATCTGAGAACAGGCCCAGGGGAACATGTTTGGGGAGGACTGGATATTAAACCACAAAAAGACTCTTTCCACAAGGTGAACTGAGGGCTGCGGGACAAAGAATGACCGTGTTGAAGATGAACGTTGGACTCCGGCCTTGAAGCTGCGTTAAGAGGAAGAGTACAGGGAGAATTTCCTACAGGTGGAAGGGACAGAAACATGAGATGAGACCCAGGAAACAAAGGGTCGAGTGGCCTGAGCAGGCCTAGTGCACGGGACAGACGCTAGACCCCTTCTCCCTCAGAGCACTTCCCAACCGGCTCTTTACTTTTAGGTCGGGACCACTTTCAAGCTTTGCCTCAACTCTGCATTAGTCAAAACCAGGTATGTCCCCATGTTACAGATGAGGAAATTGATGCTGTTTCTTGGAATCACTGACTGATAAAGGGCTAACCAGCTAGTGTGGCAGCTGGAGTTTGGTCCCTGTCCTCTGACTCCAGCCCCGAGCTCTGATTTTGATCTGTCACAAATCTGACGTTTGGACCCAGGGGAAGAGTCCAGAGGCAGGAGACCCACACCAGGGGTTACCGTAGGCCACAGTCAGTCATGAGGTGGCAGGCCTAGAGCTGGTGGCAGCAACGGAAGAGAGTAAATCTAATTTCTTACAAGTAAAATCAGCTATGTACACAGAAGTCAAAAGAGAGGAAAGGGTCAAAGCCGTCGGCCCTGGAGAATGGACAGGAAAGAGTGGCCTTACACCCACAGACAGCTCCGGCCCAGAGGCGGTGCACGCCAGTCACAGAATACTATTTCACCAACTATTTATTTGGTTTATATGAGGGAAAATTCAGTTATTTAATGCTACTTTGAACTTTACTTTTTGAAATCAAACTGGAACAATTCTAGGGGAAAAGAGAATTGCATTAAATCTTTAATAAAAAAAAAAAAAAAAAGCTTGGCCAGGCACCATGGCTCAAGCCTATAATCCTAGCGCTCCAGGAAGCAGAAGTGGGATGAGCTTAGGAGTTCAAGACCAACCTGGGCAAGAGCGAGACCCCATCTCTACTAAAAATAGAAAAATTAGTCACGTGTGGGGGGCACCTGTAGTCCCAGCTATTCAGGAGGCTGAGGCAGGAGGATCACTTGAGCCCAGGAGTTTGAGGTTGCTGTGAGCTGTGACGCCACAACACTACCCAGGGGACAGAGTGGGACTTCTCTAGAGAAGTTTATCCTAGTTTACCTTAGACAATCACTAATAATGAATTGATCAGTAAAGACTCAAGAGGAGGACAAGACGCAGAGACGCATGAAGTGGCAGCGTGAGTCTCCCTGGGACCTGGGCGTGGAACCTTTACACTTCTGCCCCCATGGTCCACCCAGAAGCCTGGAAAATGTCTGTGACTCTATCCTTTTTCCTCTGAACGCATGCTGACCCGGACACAGAGGGCCAGACGGGGAAGGAACTCTGCTACTGGACTCAAGAAAATCTGACCTTGTGCAACACCCCTGCAGAGAAGGGGGGAAGAACATACACCCCCCTCTGTGTGGCGGCAGAGGGGGGCGTGAGCTTTGCATTCAGAGAGGTATGGGCTTGCTTCCCGGTTCCTCCGGGAAGCACACTGTGAGCGTCATCCTAGGCATGTCACTTCTTCTCTTCATTCTCTCCACTCAATGTCCCCATTTGCAAGATAGAACTGTAACCTCATAGATGTCTGAGAGATTAAACAAGCTCAATAATTGTTCATGAAAAAAAGACTGTTGGCCTCCTCTCCCCACCACGGTGTGTGCTCATCCACTGATATCAGTGTACTCCGAAAAGGGGGCATCATCTGGCAGAAATGTCACTTTGCCTGGTATCTTCAAGACTCTCACTCAAGCAGATATTGTGAATTTTGTTCACACCAACTTGCATAAAACAACAGATAGTCATATGCTGCCAGTGAATCTGCAGGTCACCAGACCAGTGCTGAGTCCCGGGGCACTGGCAGGGCTGTGGCTAGGATTCCCAGAGCTCGAGGTGGTGGGACTCACCGCTCTGACCAGGGTGCTTTTGGAAATATGTGTTGTGGAGGTCACAAGTTTGCACCAACAAACACGTGGCATCACTGGCATTGCTGGCATTGCTGGCACTGTAGAGTGAGCACAACCCCAAAGCAAGGTGGCATCTGGTCTGCCCTGACCACCTCAGCCTCACCTGCCCTGACCACCTCAGCCTCACCTGCCCTGACCACCTCAGCCTCACCAGCACTGGTCATGTCTATAAGTCATCGAATTGAGGAAGTTCCTGAACTTATGTTGGTGGCTGAAGATAAAGTTGAAGGCTACAAAAAGACCAAGGAGGCTGTTTACTTCTTAAGAAACTTAAGGCCTGGAATAAAATCAAAAAGGTCTCTATCTTTCAGCAAATGAGGGCTGGCAAGGGCAGAACGAGAAACCATCATCATATCCAGCGCAGGGGACCCTGCATCATCTAGAAGGAAGACAAGGTATCATCAAGGCTTTCAGGAGCATCCTGGGATTACTCTGTTTAATGTAACAAGCAAGCTGAACACTTTGAAACTTGCTCCCGGTGGACATGTGGGACGTTTTTGCATTTGGACTGAAAGTGCCTTCCGGAAGGTAGATGAATTGTGCAGCACTTGGCGTAAAGCTGCTCCCCTCAGGGGTCACTACGACCTTCCCGTGCATGAACACAGACACAGATGATGAACACAGACTTCAGCCGAATCTCGAAAAGCCCAGAGATGCAAAGGGCTCTCTGAGGCCACGACTAAAGATTCATCGCATTGTCCTGAGGAAGAATCCACCGACAAACCTGAGAATCACATTGGAGCTAAACCCACATGCAAAGACAGGCACCAAACACCCTTCTTCACCAGGCCGGGAATCCCAGACTGGGTGGGTGAGGCAGCTGAGCCCTGCAGGCCAAGTCAGGAGAGGGATTGCAGGCAAGACGCCTGCAGCAGTGAAGAAAGGGGAAGGCCTGCTGG